CATCAACTAGCTTTTAGGAAAATCACTTTTGTCTAAACTCTTTCTAAAAAGAAATCTGCTCTGTTTGTTAGAAAACAAAATTTTATTTTATGCTCAATTAAGTTTCAAACTTTTATTTTTACAGTTATCTTGATAACAAAGGCACTAGAATGCTTTACTCCATTCCCTCATTAACTTTTGCATGAATATCATACAAATCAGTTAGCTGTTAGGTCAAGGGCTTACCGAATTTCTGAGCTTTTTGCTAACAAACTCCCATTAGAAATAGTACCGGAATTTTAGGAACTACAGAGATCGTGTATTGAGATTCCTTAAATAAGGCTTCAGATATTACTTTATTGCTTTTTTGTATTGGTTAAAACTGTACATTTAATATTGCTGTGTTACTATTTTCTACAATTAATAATTTGTCTATTTTAAAATAAATTAGTTAAGAGTCTTAATGGTCTGTTGTGGTCTTTGTATTAATTGCACTAATGTTCCCTTATATCTAAACTCTCTACTGGTATTTCATCTGTTCTTAGCCTTAGTGGGTTTTATATGCTGATGATCCCTAAATTTACTTCTCTAGCCCTGACCTCTTCACAAAAGTCAAAGCTCTCATAGCCAATAGACCTCTTCATTCCTACTCCTCCCCGCTCTCAACTAATTAGTATGAACCAAAATCAAACAAAAATACCTTGTTTCTACCCTAGTCTTTCCCCATTTTACTAAACACTTGCTTGAGCAAAAAACCTAAGAGTCATCTATTAATTCCTGTCTGGACCACCATTAAAGATTTCTAAGATCTCTCTCTCAGACAACCCAGACAAATAAGGTCTCCATGTTTCCTCTTTCCTTTTTACCTTTCAACTCCATAAAGAACAAAAATGATCCCCTTAAAATGTAAATGGATTTTCATTGCTACCCTACTTGAATCATTCACACTCCTTATCTTGGCCTGTGAAGTGGCCCCTACCTCCTTCTCTATCCTCACCTCACTTCTCTGCTTGCCTCATGTGCTTTAGCCACACTGACCTTTCTCTAATGATGCCAAACCTGTCCCTACAGATCAGGCTTTTATGTTTGCTATTCCTTCTGTCTCTAGGTGCTCTTTCCCTAGAATTTTGCCTTTCAGTGCTCAGTTCAGAGGATTTGTTTGACCATCCAAGTATGTAGAAGCAAATAATATTCCCTTCCTCTTTTCAGATGCCATGTACGTACTATATTCCAATCATAGTTGTAAATGTGATGATACAACAGTTAATAAAAAACTGCCCTAACCGACATGGCTCAGTGGACACAGCATCGGCCTGCGGACTGAAAGGTCCCGGGTTTGATTCCAGTCAAGGCATGTACCTTGGTTACGGGCACATCCCAGTGGGAAGAGTGCAGGAGGCAGCTGATCGATGTTTCTCTCTCATCGATGTTTCAAACTCTCTATCCCTCTCCCTTCCTCTCTGTAAAAAATCAATAAAATATATTTTAAAAAAACAAAACCAAAATCCCATCTTTGTGGAACTTCATTCTATTTCTAGTTTGGGGGAAGTACAGCAAGTGAATAAATAAATGTGGAATACATAATATGTCCAATTGTATTAAGTACTTTGGAGAAAGAGCAGGGAGAGGATAGGGAGTGCTGGTAGGGAAAGTTTTAAGTTTTCAGTAGAGTTGTCAGGGAAAGACTTGCTGAGGTGATACTTCAGCAGAGCCCTGAATATGGTGGGAGAGGGAGCCATTGACAGGAAAACAGTCCCCAGAGGGGGAAGCCAGAGCTAGGCGGTGAGAATCTTCTGGTGCTTTGGTCGGCAAACTGTGGCTCGAGAGCCACATGCGGCTCTTTGGCCCCTTGAGTGTGGCTCTTCCACAAAATACCACGCAGGCACGCCCATACAGTGCGATTGAAACTTCGTGGTCCATGCGCAGAAGTTGGTTTTCGGCCTGGGCGAGTCTATTTTGAAGAAGTACTGTTGATATTTGGCTCTGTTGACTAATGAGTTTGCCGACCACTGGTCTGCTGTGTTTGAGCAATAAGGAGTCATAGAAGAATGGAGAGTTGTAAGAGGAGGAGTGGTGGAGCAGGTATCTCTCTTAATCTAATATAAAGTTTATATGAAAGGCCTTTCCTCCCAAGCATCTTTTATGCATATAACAAACCCACAGTTCATCTGCAATTCTGAAATCTGTAAGGCTTAAAAAAAAAAAAAAAAGGAAAGAAAGAGGTGGAGCTCTGGCTGGGGTTGCTAAGTGGTTAGAGCATTGGCCTGCTCAGTGAAGGGTCGTGGGTTTGATTCCCAGGCAAGGGCATGCACCTGGGTTTCTGTTTCCTCCCCATCCCCAGGGGGGGCACGTGGGGAAGGAAGGCAACCAGTCTATATGTCTCTCTCCCATCGATGTTTCTCTTTCTCCTCCTCTCTCTCTCCCTCCCCAACCTCCCTGCCACTCTCTCTGAAAAGTAAAGGAAAAAATATCCTCAGGTGAGGATTCAAAACAAAACAAAACAGGGTGGATAGTTTGTTCCTGGAGGAAGAAAGGCAAATAAAGAGGTTAGAGCAGGAAAAGCAGCAAGCATACTTGAAAGGACTGTATTTATGTTGGATGGAGATCTTATATGAAATGCAGTCTCTTAGGGTAAGGCAAAATCAAGCAATTTATGACACTAAAACTTCTTAATCTAGATAATAAAAATAGATCACTTCTGGCAATTTAGTATTTTAGAAATTAAAGTTCTTTATTTTAAAAAAAAAGTTCAAATTCATATATTTTCATCACTTTCCCAGTGCAGATGTTGGGGGAGGGGGCACAGCCATCTACATGCTAGTTCTGTTACCATCTGCATGGATTCATAGAAACTTGCCTGTAGAAGCATATTTTTGTTCCTCATTTTGGAGCCAGATAGTGTACCCAGCATTGGGTAGGTAACACTGTATAATATTTGAATGGAATTAAAATAGGCTTTTAAAATTCTTATAAATCCTTTTTTTGTATCCATTATTTTGGGACTATACTTATATATTAGTATTGCTATATATGATAATGGTAGTTTAATATGAATGTTAAGTTTATTCCACAGACCAACATCAGGTACTTCCTGAATAGAAAATTTTGGGATTTTAACTGAATTTAGTGAAAGAAAATCAGTATGATTTTTTTCTATGCTTTGGCAAAGACTGAATTAAAAATAAAAGTAAGATATCCTTTTTCCTTTCTTTTTACAATTCTCCCAACCTATTTGTTGTAATAGGAGGGGGAGTCTAATAAGAGACAAGACTGTGTAGTTTGTCATTACTTCCTTTTCATTACTGGTCAAGAATTCTATTTCTAAATAAAACTCACCAGGTTATGGTTCAGAATGACTGGCAGTTTCTTCCAGTCTCAGCTGAAGAACATTAACCTTTACTTTTAAAAAAGCATGGATTTGTATCTTCATAAACATTTATCAGCAGATCAGGATACTACTTTATTCCTGTAAAATCTTAACTTTTCTCTGTAAATTAGGGTAAAATTATTTTGGAAGCATTAAAACATTGAACCTCCTCATGTGAGCAGAGTGGAAACAAAAACTTAAGGATAGGAAATCTAAGATGAAAGGAAGGATCCATCCATCCATAACATTCTTATGTAGTGTTATTATGAAAATGTAACTTTTCTCTCTCATATCCCTAATTGAACAGTAGTGTTTCTGAGACTCTATCCTCAAAGATCAGAGAGAAGCATGTTTTTTTCAGAGAGATGCATCCACTGGACTCATATGTCATCTTTCAAATGTCTATAATTAGCCCTTATTGTTTGGAATCGGGGATTTTAAGCGCTCTCATCCTTGGCTAAAAACATCAAAAATACTCTTTGGTTACATATTTTTTAATATACTGAATTAGAATCCTTGAATCTATATTTTGAAAAAGTCCTGTGGCGTATTCTGTTGTACCCAAAGATACGAAGCACTGAGCTATATAGCAGTGCAGACCTAACATAACAAAGTGTAGAAAGAAAACCCAGATACAAATCCATCTGACCCTCCTTAATAACTTGTACTCTGGCAATATGGCTATTGACTCATTGTGGAGTTTGGTAAAGGGTGGTCCATTTTGCATCCTTAAATAAACTTACCTGTTCCCTTTGTTCCAATTTTTACACGAAATGAGTTCATAAAAGAAAAAGGCAGCAAGGAGCTTCAGAAGACCCTATCAGACTGCAAGAAAGAGGAAAGGCTTTGGAAGACACTATGAAAATGTAAAGGTTTTGGTCAGTTACAGTGAGCATAGGAGGGTGAGGAGGAAAAGTCAGACATGAAGACTGGAGTTGTCCAACTGCGAGAACTGACAGCTATAGGTAATAGCCAGATCTGCGTTATTTCTTTGCTGGATAAAATAGCAAATCTACCAAAAAGTGGGGGGAAAGGACATATGGTAGATTTAAAATAAATAACTGAATGAGACTATATAATTCCAGAAATAGGATTGCAATTTAGAACTAGAGGCATCCAGATTACTTAGCCTCTACAAGATAAGGTGTGCAAAGCTGGATAAACAATGAAACTAAGGATTCTAATGTGACCTCACCAATAAAGAACAGCCACAGGCAATAATATGAACAGTAAGTTGTTTATAACCATTTGTTTTAAGTGGGCTTCAGTATGCTACCTTATTTGAGTAACTGCTTTAAAATTCAAGCTCTAACCATTTGTTTTAAGTGGGCTTCAGTATGCTACCTTGAGTAACTGCTTTAAAATACAAGCTTATATCACATGGATTTATATACAAAAGGCATAAAGTTGATGCAATTTTGCTGTTTCTTAGGAATTAAAAAACATGGATATAAAGTACAGCATAGGGAATATCGTCAATAATATTATAATAATGATGTATGTATGGTGCCAGGTAGATACTAGAAATATCGGGGGGAACACTTTGTAAAGTACATGATTATCTAACCAGTATGCTGTACACCTGAAACTAATACAAAATAATATTGAGTAGAAACTGTATTTGAAAAAAAATTTAATAAATTAAAAATACACATCTATTATATTCAAATAAACACTTTATTATCAAATAGTTCAGTATCAGAACAAGGTTTCTAGTTCCAAGAGTTTTCTTTACATAATATCATATTGTGAAACGTATTAGGAGGATCTGATACTATCCTATATCTCATTCCAGTTTTTATTTTGCAGTTGGGTAACTTGTTTTTTATCTAAAAAGTATAAATTTATCTCATTCTTCTTAATGCTGTATATGAAATGTAAGTTTTAGTGCCTTTTCAGCTGGGATTTTATAATTATACTGTACCAGGTTAAGAGACTTGATTTAAAGTGACATAAAAGTCAATTACAAGAAAAACACAAACATTTTTATATACAGAGGCAAATCTCTCAACACAAAGGCAAAGGACATTTTGCAATTATGTAAGGCAGGTGAGCCCAGAAATAATATTCATTCAAAGATAGTAGTTCATATTCAATAATCCCATAAGCGAAATCAATGACTCAGAGTAAATAGAAAATTAAAGTTAGCCCTTAGGCCTTTGACAATTTATTTGCCAAGGTCTTTTGTGAATTCTAATTAATGCTCTAAATTAGCCACTATTTCTCAGAACGATGCACCAGAAGAATATGAACCTTAACAGATGCATGCTGTTTTAAATTTATCCTACAAAAAAAAAGTTATTCTCAGGGCATACTTAAGATTTATAATAAATTAATTGAGTGCCTACTATATGCAAGGCACTGTGCTGGATGCTGAAAATGTGGTGGTGACAGCATTCCTTGTCATTATCTATGCAATATCAGCCTGTTGAATAACAGAACATTCGACCAGACTAGCATATACTTAGACCAATATGCCAAAAGTGTCCAACTTAAGTGACTCAAAAGAGGAAATGGTAAATATAATAAGACATTTTAATTGTTTTCCCTGGAGCTTAGTCACATCTGATCAGAGTGTTTAATGCCTTTTATATAACTCTGGATTTCAGCAGATGGGGAAGACTGACCACCACCCCTCTTTTGACAGAACGTAAGTATTCAGCCAAATGTAGCTCATTATTAATACTATTAAAGAGAAGTTATTCTCTGGCTTTTAAAGGGAAGACAGGAATGCTAAAAATGTTTTCCTGCAGGTGAGGATCAATTTTTAAAGGCTCCAACTCTGCTTGCTTTGCTGATAAAGTTCTTCAGGAGATCATGGTCCATTTCTGCAAAGCCTGAAGTTTGTGTTACTACAGTCAAATGGTTTACACAAAACCTGAAGCAGAATTCTTCCAAATCCTAGGAACAACAAAAAAATATTTTAACAAATTCATATTTTCCAATGTAATGCAACGTAGAATGAAAACACACAATCAAGGAAAAAGGATTTGATAGCCAATAGGAAGACATATTGGTATGGCAATACCTAAAGAATAGTTATAAAACTATAGTGCTAATATGAATCTATGGTTGTAAAAATGTAAATGATAAAGTAAAACATTCAGGTTCCTCCACACCAGCCAATACCAGAAATAGGCACCTACATGTCTGAATTCTGTACCTTTCACAGTGAGAGTACTAGTATTACTAGTATTTGTACTGTTGGTTCCACTTTCAGTATTTGTTAAAAGTATGACATTCCTCTTTTATATTCCCCTAGGGCAGAGGTGGGGAGCATCTGGCCCACGGGCCATATAAGGCCCACAAAATCATTTGGTCTGGCCCTGCCAAGGCATTAGGGGTGAGTTAATTAAATGTTTAACCAAATATAGCAGGTTAATTTTTAAGTTGATAATTTTGTATGGCCCGCCAATGATGTTATAAATATGTAAATGGCCCTTGGTAAAAAAAAAGGTTCCCCACCCTTTTGTTTATTGTCTATATTATTTTGAATATAATACAAAGGGAATATAAAAGAGGAGTGTCATACTTTTAACAAATTCTGAAAGATGGGATGGTTGTTCCATCAGACCCTGATTACCTTCAGTAATCTTAACTGGGAAAATGAAATCATGACTTTCTCCTAAAAGAAACTCCTCAGATTGGTGTTTCTGCCTTACTATAATTCACTCTGGGCCAAAGAATAGTCCTGTAATACTTCTCTTGATCAGATTTGTAAACTTGAGACAGAATGAAGGTGGCTGGATGCTTTTTTGGCCCCAGACAAATTAGAGCTAGAGGCCAGCTGGCGGAGACTCCAGTTGCCTTTGACCCTGGGCTATGCTGCTGTCTTGACCCAGGACAAGGTGCTGCCAGGTAGAAGTCAACCCAAAAGTTTCTGCTGTATTAGCTGAAACTGATTTATTTAAAAAGCCCAAAATAATGTCCAAGCAATCACATATACACAGTACACATATAAATTATAGCAGATGCTGGAGATGAAAACACAGGCAAAAATTCACAGTAGTAATAGCCATGCCAATCAAATTCACAATATCTTTTAAGTAAAGAAACAAACTACATGAAGAAAATCTATCCATTTCACCCCTAAACAGCTACATAGGCTGCTAGGGTCATAGTGGCAATATGACATCTCTAAGTCCTTGGTAAGCCCTAAGTGATAGAACAGCCAAAAATACACACACACACTCAATATCAGAACATGTGACTATACATAAAAATGTGCTTCATTAATATATAGTGAATATACCAACATCCATTTGAAATTATGGACTCTTGCTTAAATTTTTAGAAATGACATTTTTGCCTATAGCACACTGAAGTGAAGCAAGACAGCAAATACGCTGTTCTTTATGAAAACCTGTATTTTATGTATACATATGGTCTACTTTACTGATTGTCTCTTATGTAATGTAGGTACAACAATTAGTTAGATGGGCTATAGTAAAATACAGTGCCTCTACAGGCAAAGTTGAAATTCACTAAACAAACATTTCTTTTTCTTTTTTAAAAATATATTTTATTGATATTTTACAGAGAGGAAGGGAGAGGGATAGAGAGTTAGAAACATCAATGAGAGAGAAACATCGATCAGCTGCCTCCTGCACACCTCCTACTGGGGATGTGCCCGCAACCAAGGTACATGCCCTTGACCGGAATCAACCCTGGGACCCTTGAGTCCGCAGGCCGATACTCTATCCACTGAGCCAAACCGGTTAGGGCAGAAACAAACATTTCTTGATATGTGTCAGGCACTATCCTAAGCACTAAGGATTTGGTTGTGAGTAAAGAAAAGTCCTTGCCATTCTTCAAGGAGCTTACTTATTAGAAAACAGAGAGCTGGAAGGTTAACCATACAAATAAGTCACATAAGTAAGGAATATGAAGAAGTCCTGGAAATTAAGCCTAGTTCAGATGAAAACACTATACTACATCCACCAAATTGCCATCCGAGGTAGCTCACCAGAGTCCAGAATTATCACCATGACTTTAACAAACTACAAAAAGCACAATGATTTTTTTATTTTTTGCCAGAAAGCATTTTGCATGTTGTAAGTGCCCAATAAAGCATTACCTGGATGCAAGACAAACGTCCACTATTCTTTTAAATGTCAATGTTTCTAGCTGGGTGAGACTTTTTAAAACATTAAGTAAAAAAAAACACACAAAACTAGTATTTAGAAATATATACATAATGTAATCTAGGAAAAGATTAGAAGGAGCTGTGTGAAAATGTTATGTTCTTTGGTTAATGAGTCATTTCCTTCCTTATTCTTTTTTTATTTTTCAAATTTTCTTTACTAAGCATATTATTATTTATATAAGCACACAAAAGGTTAAAACCTTTTCTTCCACCCACCACTAAAATGTCCCTGTTTTTTTTAACCAAAGGAGAGGATATCCTTATAACAAAAGGAAATCGACTCCAAGAAGTATAGCCTGTTTCCTAAAGATTTAGTTCTAAGACAGGTTTTCTTTCCTTTCATTATCATCAAAACAATACATGGTCACTGCACCAAGTTAAAAAAAAAACAAAGATAAGGAAATGAAAATCATCCATAATTCCACCATCTAAAGATAACCACTGACTATATTTTTCAGTCTTTTTTCTTCGTAGATAATGGGGGAAAAATCAGTCTTAGTCTTTTTAAATTCAGCTATTTATACTTTTAAAAAAATGAAAATGGGACCATAGTTTTTCATATTATTAATATTCTATATAGTTTAAACAATTCTCTAGGGTTCACATTGACTTTTTCTAATTTTTCAAAATTATAAACAATGCTGCAATAAACATCTTTTAAGTTAATCTTTGTCCAAATCCATGATTACTTCCTTAAGACAATTTATGTGAATTTCTTAAAGAATTAGATCTTTAGAGTTTTTAATACATATAATACCAAACTGTGCCCCAGAATGATTGTACCAGTTTGCACTTTCATCAGCAGTTTAGGAGGACAGCCATTGTTCTGAGCTGTAGTATTTCTAAAAATATATTCCCTGGTATGACAAATGTTTTTATTTATATTTTTCATTTGTTCATAAATCTATATGGTTCATTTGTTCAGTCAAATCACTCATATTATCTTTTTATTTTTAAGAACTATACATTATGGTAAGCTTGCTTTATCATATGTTGCAAAAAATTTCCCAGCGTATTATTTACTTTTTAATTTTCCTTGTATTTTTTGGTGTATAAGCATCTTTTTTTTTTAATCAAATCCATCAATCCTTCCTGCCTTTGAGGTCCACCCTAACGTTATATAGTCACTAATATTTCTTCTGATATTTTATTGTTTACATTAAGTATTTAACCTACTTAATGTAAAGATATGAAGTAGACACCTACCTGTTTTTTTTCCAGAAGGGAAGCTAACTGAAAAAATGCTTTTCTTACCTGAGCATCATACTTCACAGCAGCAGAGAGCAGAGCAATGGCATTCTCCTCACAGATGCCTTGCTTGATAGTTTGCTGGCAGAGCTTTTTCAAACGATTTTCTCTATAAAATGTAGCCAAATCTAGCAATCCTGGTGGAAAGAGATGTTTATGTGGGGGGAGTGACTTCAAGCATCCTAATTTAAACTCACTCAACCCTTAAGATTTTTTTTTTGACATTATTTTGAATATAATCCTTAGTGAAGGCTGTATAGATAGACTTGTGCTCATACACTCTGAGCAGGGGGCTTTCCCTAAAACATGGCTGAACTGAGCAAATACAATAGACAAACAAGCAGCCATGGAAAATAAGAGCAGTGAACAAGGCTTTAATATGTTTCCTAGAAATGCCCCTCTAATTATCTGTCCGCCTGCATTACCAATGTCTGCTCTGGGGTCATTTCCATCAGCATACATACATGCTATAATAGCGCTCATCTCTTAAAAAAAAAAAAAAGAAAAACCTGTCATGGGGACATGTCTGCCTCTCATCACCCTCCCCATTTCTCTGCTCCTCTCTACAGCAAACCTCCAGGGGAGAGTCCTCTGCTTGCTGCCTCCATTTTCTGAGCTCCCATTCTCATCTCAAGCCATTCCAGGCATAATTCCATCCCCTCCACTCCTGACATCACACCTGGGATTGTCACTAAAGGCTGCCACAATGCCAAGTCCAACGCTATTCTCCAGTTTCATCTTACTCAAGAATGACAAAATTTCCTGTGGCTGATGATCATCCTTTTCTTGAAATGCTTTGTTACTTGCTTGTGTTTTTCTTCTTTTTAATTAGTTACTCTTAAGTCTCTTGGCTAGACCATTTTTCCTGACTTTCAAATGTGAGGGTGCCCCAGGGTTCAATCCTCATATTCTTATTTCACTTATTCCCCTAAGTCAGTGGTCGCCAACCTTTCGGACCTCACGGACCACCACTGGTCCGCGGACCATCAGTTGGCAACCACTGCCCCTAAGTGATTCCAGCCCAGTGGTTTCAAATGCCATTAATTGTTATCTACCCCATAGGACACTATGAAGTACTCCAGTCAGGAATGGCCAGTTAGCATTTGAAAGACCCTTGTCAGGAGTTTCAGATACTACCTAAATCTTCAGAGAGAGCTAGAAATACTTTGTTATTGGTGAAATGAGTAGTGTTCAGGATATGTGGCTTGGCTCTAAATATCGTGAGCGCCCTTTTGCCTTTGCATGAATGGCATTCAAGCATCATGAGCTTAAGTAGTCCTATACCTGTGGAGTGGTACATTCGCTAGGTCTGCATCCAGTCCTAGGCTGGTCAAAAGGTTAGCTAAACCCTGCTACTAGAGTATTGTTACATCTACTTCAAGCTAACCTTCCAAGCAAGCTACTTTATAGAGGGCCTAATGGACAGATAGCAGAGATTTCATCAATCTCACAACATTTACTGTTCTTGTTTGTGTCTGCTATTGAGTTTTGTAAGTGTGGAAGAATTTGGTCAGAAACTTGCTTTCATTGTAATATGACACACATTATCAAAGTTAAGAAAGAAAAGCCTGTGGTCCATTGGAGGATGCTGAAACCATAAGAGTTGTGAATGGCTCAGTGGTTTCTGGTCAGTTTTCAACAACTCCCAAACTCATACCAACAGCCCTGTGTACTCCCCAGCTTCAGACTCACATTGACCCGGACCCGCAAGAACTGCCCTAAGACAGGACCCTGCCCTACGTTCCTGCTCAGGAGGCCTCACTCTGTACTGCCAGGCACACCCCTCATCACCCAAAGTGTGGTTAAGGAGCCGTGTACCCATTCTTACTTAGGGCACACTTTGGGTGTCTGGGACCCTGGGATTCCCCGACTAACTGGCCCTGAGACCACATATGTGGGTATTCCCTCCCCTCCAAACCATACCACCAATGCACAGCCCCCCAGCCTCAAGGGGTGGCCTGAGGTGGGGGTGGCTGGAGCTTGGACATGCAGGCTGTGGTGCCCACACACCCCTTGTGATGCAGGATGTAGCTGGTGGAGGGAAAAGGAAGGCACCTGGCTGCAAGCTGGAGGCCAGAGGCCTGTCCCTCCCATGCCACTGTGTTCAGCACAGAACTCCCAGGAGTCGCACAACTCTAAATTCCGACTAAAACTTAACCTGGCCTTTCAGTTCTCAATGAAGGTATACTTTTCAAGGTCTGAGGATTGAACATATTTTATCTGAAGTTAGCATCACATCTCACTAAGTTTTTAGATGTATGATACGTAGCCCTTTATTTGGACTCTTGCCCAGGGCCCTGCAAATATTAGGGGTGAGCTGATAAAAATAACTGCCACTTGAATGTTTAATCAACTCCTTTGACTTTTCAAACTCAAGAGCAGCATCTTTCCATCGTCTTCATCTCAGTGAATGATACTTCATTACCCCAGCCATTCAGGCCGAGCACCTCAGCACAGTCATCCTTCTCATCTCCTTACAATCCTTCTCTTTTCCTTACACCCACATCCCAGCCATTGACAAATACCATCAGCTCCATCTTTAAAATATCCAGATCTGGTCTCTTCAACGCCACCACTGCTACACCACTAACCCAGGGTGCCATCATCTCACACCTGAGCCATTAGAATTACTGATCTTTTAAAAACAAATCACATCATTCCTATGGTATAAGCTACTTGCTGCTTCTCCACTACACACACAGTCATGGCCACCTGGATATGACCACACTTTCCCCTACCTCCTATGCATCTGGCTGGGTTATGGCCTTGGCCAGCTCTGATCCATGGTTTGAAGTAAGAGGAACTTCCAGGACCCTTCCTCCTTAAGATTCTGGGCATTTGCCCTTCACCCCTTTGTCGCTGTCCCTCCATCCTGTTACCTGTAATGCAAATGCGGTCTTGGACCATGAGCACAGGGGCCACATATAGCAATGCCCTGCCCTGTATCCCTGTGTGAGAGAGAAAGATACTATCTTGTTTAAGCCACTCTTCCCCACCCCCGCCCCCCGCCATTTTACTGTCAGAATTAAAGCAAATCCTAAATAGCACAACCCTATGCTCAAAACCTCACACCAAGAAAAAAACTCAAGCTCCTCGCCATGGCCTTCACGGTTAGGTATGATCTTGCCCAGCTCTCAACTCCTTAATTCCTCCCAGTATAAGTCTTGCTCAGTCCATTCCAATCACCCTGGCCTTCCCCCTCCTCTTCCACATGCTAACTTTGCTCCTGTCTTAGACTTCTGCACTTACTGTTACCCATGCTGAGTGCTCTTCCTTGGGTCTCTGCATGGCCCACTCGTGACTCCCCAGGGCTCTGCTCAATGCACTTCCCAACGGAGGCTTCTCGACCCTCCTGACTGACTGCTTGCATTTATTGCTTAGGGCTGGCCTCCCTCATCTGAGTACAAGCCCCTCAGGGGTAAGGCCTCAGTCTGTCTCTGCACAGATGCCCAAAGGAGCTGCAGCACACAGCGGGCATGGGCACTAAAACACTGTGCAAGAAAGGAAGGAAACTGTAAAACTTCAGAAATCAGACTTTCGTTTACCTGAGTAAAATTACATGCTAATTTGGTTTAAAAAAATGTTATATTGACATGTATAAACATGTCAAATGAATGTTTAAAAATTTGGGGATTGAACTCTTTCTTTAGTTCCTGACAGCTGTAAACTGAAACTTAGTATGTATTGAACTCTGCATCCATGGGGTACCCTGTGTTGCTTTTGTAATGTCAGGTGAACACATCTGTCCCAAAGCCATCTGGGATGGAAATTCACAGATACAGAGACCAGCAGGGCTTATGATGTGGATTTTATCTGTTTTATAATGAAAACATCTTGAGGGCAATAGATATGATAGCTAAAAGTTATGTACAATACTAACATATAGTAATTAAGAGTGGTACCCGCTGCACAGTGATGATAATTCATCTATCTCTTCTTTAATCTATTCAGTCAACCTCTGAATGATTAGTAACAAGGGAAAAGAGTTTGGGTTCAACACACAAAAAGAGAACGCCTCTGCAATTGCACTCACAGTGACATCCGTTTAGGCTCCACAGAAATCACCTTGCCAAGTTACCCAGCATTTTGCCAATCTCTTGGTAAACTCTGGTGGTAATTAATTACCTACTGCCTCCTCAGGGGGAAGGCTGATGCTGTCTGTGTACAGGTATTCCAGGAAGGCTCGGTAAACAGGATATGAAAATTCACTCATTTCTACAATATCATCCTCACTGTCATCCAATGAAGAACGAAAATGCTCGCACCTGAAGGAAGAAAAGCATGTCAGGTCCTAGCTTCTTGGCAAGAGCAGTTAACACAAGGAGCACACCCCTGTGGAGCTTAAAGGGGGAGAACCTAACAAGGAGAAAGGAAACACAACATTACACATGACACTCGCCAAGTTGCACACTTTTATGTCCCTGCCCTGGCCCCTCACTTCCTCTGTGTCCAGTTTTCAAGCAACCATTAATTTAACAAGGTTGCAAATGCAAATCTGCTGTGGGAGAGCTGCCCCTGCAGACACACTGGATGGAGACAGTGCTGCCTCCCTGAAAGTAACCACACTGTGTCCAGGGAGCAGCATTTATGGAAGTCAGGTGGGTTTATTTTTGTAACTGCTGAGTAATTTTGTTTCTTCACTTCCTGTTACGGTTTGAATTGTCTCTCATAAAATTCATATGTTGAAGTCCTAACATCAGAATATAACAATATCTGAAGAAAGGGTCTTTACAGAGGTAAGTTACCAAGTTAAAATGAGGTCATTAGAGTGGACCCTAATCCAATATGACTGGTGTCCTTATGAAAAAGAGGGAATTTGGACACAGGTGTGTACACACACAGGGAGGACGCCATGTGAACACTGCATTTATGTTGCCACAAGCCAAGGAACGCCAAAGATTGCCAGAAACCCCCCAAAGCCAGGAGACTGGTGGACCAGGTTCTTCTTCGCAGCCCTCAGAAGGAACCCACCCTGTGAACACCTGGATCGTGACTCCCAGCCTCCAGGACTGTGAGAGGATGAATTTGTTGTTGAGGCCCAGTTTGTAGTGCTTTGTTACAGTAGTCCTGGAAACTGACATACACACACCCTTTATGAAGGTTTATGGACTATAATAAAAGTGAACAAATGTTGTACAGCCTGACCTTACTGAGAGGTGAACTTGAGACTAACATGCTATATTGAGCTTGTTATTTGTTGCAGTGGGATTTAAGTATCTATTAGACAATAGGATGGTTTTCAAAATCATTATGTGAAAAGAAAGAAGCCAGGCACAGAAGAAAACGTATTGTATAATTCCATTTATATAAACTTCTAGAAAATGCTAACTAATCTCTGTGAGAGAAGAAGATTACCTGCCCCAGAGCTCAGGGCACAAGGGATGTTTGAGGAGTGACAGAAACGTTCTCGATCTTAACTTGGGGTGATGCTTTCACAGGTGTATTCTTATGTCAAAGCTCCTCAAATGTGCACATTAAATGGACTTTAAATGGATGTAACTCATTGGTCAAAATTTATATCAATATATTTGATTTTTTAATACTCTGTGTTAGCTCTACCCTGGGTCTGTTGCTCTGGAAAAGCCGTATCTTCTCTTTTTTCAAGCCTCTAAAAGTTCTGTACCCCACAGCTGAGTGGGGAGAGTGATGTTCCCCGCCGGGCCCAGCGCTAGCGTGGAGGTTTACTTGTGTTGAAGCCGGCAGTGCTAACAGCTCACAACACTCACCGAGGGCAGCCGCTGCTCCCCGTTCCAAGTCGTGCAAGGAAGCGGGAGAGCTCCTGGAGAAAGCTCCCTGAGCCAACCGCGCTGCGTGGTCACCTCTGGTAGTTCTTGTTTTGTGAATATGTGTTTCCCAGGCTGCCCTGAAAGCTCCTAAGGGCAAAACCGGCCTCACATTTTCCCATAATTACTGAAGTGCCTAGAGTAGTTCCTTGGCAAATAACAAATGTATTTACTTATTTAATTCTCAAAATAAGTGATTCCATACCTAATTTTGAGAAGGACTTTATGTGCATAAATGTACTTTCCATCCACCAGAAATCTCAGGTCTGCGGTGTTGGGGTTGTCAAATTCCCTCTTCAGAGACTCAGCTACTGTGAGGTGGTCGTCAGGTTCTAAGACAATCACAACACCAGTGTTTCTAGCATTAGCTACAGACATAATGAAAACGCAGGCTGTAGTACAGCATTGCTCTGCGGCGCAGACACTCGGGAAAACGTCAGCTCTCTAAAATAACTGCGCAACTGAGCCATGCTTCTCCCCTAAATATGAACTCGCACCTCTGTAATGATTAAGGGTTAAAACCTCACACACATCTCTTTATAAATCTGGCAAAACAACAACTACACAGTACAAAACTATCTCACTAAATGAAATTTTTGAATATTTAAATAGACACACTAGCTAAAAAATAATTTCTCGATCAAGTTAAAAAGTAGTCAAATAAAAGTACTTTTAATTTAGTATGTAGTGTTTGTTTCTGATACTTTTAAGAGAAATCAAACTAGTTCCTTTTCACACGAGTCCATTTGAGGGAAATAAATGATATGATACTGCACTTAACAAAGTCTTTCCTATCAAAATAAAAGCACCAGAGTTCTCTTCCTAGTTTTCAAGCATCACCCAAATGGACAGTGATCAGCTCACCCACAGAGAGGAGGCGCCAGGAGACAGCGGGAGTGGCAAAGCAGGCAAACACGTCGTCTGTGCAGGAGAGGTGGGTGAGGTGAGGCAGGACCACGGACTGGCCCCGGCACTGGCCCCACATGTACACGTGCCCTCCCTGGGTCTTGGCGGCAGATGTGTGGGCAGAGTGGCAGGCTGCAATTTCTATAATTCTAAATTCACAAACACCAAGTAAACACAGTAAACAGAAGAAGAAATGACTTTATCTCATCTCCCCTTAGGTTTGATTTCAAAACACAAAACAAAAAAAGTTACATATCTAATCTAGATTTTCAGGCAGTACAGGTATTTACATCGAAGCTATACTTCAATGCACTTATAACTCATGAAGACCTTATTACCACTTCTAGCCAGCAGGCTTATAAAAACATGTACCATCCCATTTTGAAATCCAGTACAATCCAAGAGAGTAAAGACAAAAAAAGAAAGGGGGGGAAAAAAGGTGATATAACTTTTTATTAAAATGTTACTCACTGAAGTAGATAATAAAAGCTAGAACCATCTTAACACAGGTTCAAAAAGTATTTTCATCAAAACATCACCAATTTTAGAGTTAAATAGAGCATGCTCTAAGTCACCGCAACTCACACTGCGAACAGTACATTCAGTAGTGACACCTCACTGGACTGTGTCATCTAGAGCCCAAGCGTGCAGTTTTCTGGGACCCACCTGTGTGAGACCCCGGTGCAATAGGCTCATGACTGCCAAGGAGGCAGTTCTCAGAACACTTCCTAATAGAAAACACTATTTTTGTTTATTTGGAAGCAATTACTTTGCTCTAAGAACAAGCCACCATACAGATTCAAAGAAGACAGTAAACTATTTTACCCCAAGTGAGGCGGTCATCTCGGGTTTGCTGCGGCGCAGGCAATGGGATCAGCATCCTCAGTAACTCACTCAGAACCTCAGAGTCATCTTTGGCTTCTTCTCCCTCCTCACCTACCACTTCCTTCAGAATATCCACTTGACAGATAACATAGTCCCTTCGTAATTTCCCCCATCGGCCACCACCCTCAGTCAGACACACCCCACATCTGGACCAATGGAACAGTCTCCTAGGTCTCTCTGCCTTAGAACTTCTCTCTCCGCTGACCCAAATTGCACAACACCGGCAGGTTAATAATCCTCTTGAAACACCATTCTCACCAGTACTTTCAAACCTTCAGTGATTTCCCACAAGATAAAACCCAGACAAGTGACATCAAGGCCTTCCATAATTTGGCTTCCACCCATGTCCAACCTTCTTTCAAATGACTTTTGCCCACACACCCTATGTTCCAACAAACAGAGGTACACACTGCCCCTCAGTGTCTGTATTCACAGTTCAAGTCCTTATTCAGAAATGTTCTTTCCTTTCTCTTTGCCTCAGAAATCCTACCCATCCTTTAAGGTCCAGTTCAAACAGCCAGGAGGTAAGAGGTCTCTCGCTCACCTAAGCTCTTGCAGTACTGCCTGTCCACACCAGCTGGCCTGACACAGTTACCTTTCAGGTGGATATGTCTTAGTTAGATTACAAGTTCCTGCCAGGTTGATTCACTGGCTTATTTCTCTCTCCCTAAGCACCCACTACGTGTCTTACTAAATATAATTTGTAGATCATTTTATTGACTAATTGGGAAAGAGTCAACAACACAGAACAACTGAAGATTGGACAAGCCCACACTGACCAAGGCTAGCAATTGAAGGTGGAGATATTCCTCCACTGTGTGCTTTAACTAGAGGTTCCCCAGTCCAGGAGGATGGTCCTCGCACAATCTGGAGATTGCTGTGGTGGCTTCCCTCAGAAGGCTGAGAAATATTCTTTTCATGTGCAGCCCAAGTAATTCCCCTGATTTATTAGAAGGTAGCTCTCAGCTCTTGAAAACAACCCAAGTACTGGAGGAAATGAGGCTGTATGTTGCAGAGTGGGGAGCCTGGATGTGGAGGTAGGTTTGAATGCTAGCTTTACCACGAGGCTGTGTGACTGGGAATGTCCCTGAGATCTATGAGTCTGTTTCATCACATTGCAAGGCCAGTATTGCGAATTAAGTGAGAAAACATTAGGCCCAGGGGGTGGAGTGGGATGGAGGGGATCGATGAGGGAAAAAAGGGGGATATCTGTAATACTTTCAACAATAAAGATAATTTTTTTAAAGAAAAACATTAAGCCCTAAGCGCGATGACTGGTGTACAAACGTAGCCTAACAGTAGAAGTTTCTCAATATTACTACTTCTACTCAGCATTTTAAGTGCCAAAGCCTCATATGTGTAGAGAATGTGTATTTCTAATTGTCAATTCAAATTAGTAAGGCCTTTCCTATTTACATAGTTAAGTTAGTCAAATTGGCTCAAATCGAACCTCGCCTACATGGGGAAAATGGTCAATACTATTTTGCTTCTCAATAAGGATTTTTTTTCAAAAAATAAAGAAAAAGGGCAAATAAAATAAATACATTTATTCAAAGAAAGTGAATTTACTACTACCATCCATCTACCCTCATGTTACAACTACATATGAGAGGAGCAATAATTCACTTAAAATGGCTTGGTGCAGTAGGCAAAACATGGGCTGGGAGTCAGAGGCCAAGTACTTAAACTCTTATAATCCATTTTATCATCTTAAAAAAGAGAAGTGGAGGCTTGTGGTGAAGATAAATGAAGTAATCTACCATCCCAGTGCACATTCAAAAATGGTTCTTCTCGGAAGTAACAGTTGCTTCAAGCACAATGGGGTCTGCCCGGAAGAGCTCATGGCTTAGCTGAAGAGAGAAGGAGCGTATCTGTGAAACTGCAAACAGTTCCCAGATAACATCATAGCACTGCCTACAAGTGCTCTGGTGAGTAAGGGGAAATACCTGGGGTCTCCTCAGGGAGTCTTTAAAGTAAAAGGGGGTAAGAAATACATGGACAAATGTGTAGGCGTAGGGTGAAGAAGGTTCAACATTAAGAGGTCCTACCCGGCATAGACAAGCAACTTTGGGGGGAAGAGAGCAATGACATTTGCTAGGAACAGTGGGGTCAATCTTAGAACCAAGGCTGAAGGGTTTAGAGTTGATCTGATGTGATAGACAAGTGGGAAACAGCTGTGTAAACAGAGCCATGATAGGATGAAACAGAGTTCTTAAATTACTCTGGCAACAGTGTGCACGATAGGCTGAAAGGGAGAGGAAGAATAGCCTAGAAGGTGAGCTGGGAAAGGCTGATGGATGTGCAGATGTCATGTCCCAGCATGGTGCCAAGGAAGAACCCGGGTGGCCTTTGATATTGTGGGAGTTCAGGGCAAGTCACTCCAAGATGTGCTTCTATGGTATGCAGATTGTTTTGAGCTAAAGGCCACTTTAGCCATGGGCTCAAGAGAAATTTCTGCCCCTCCCTGAACTACCTAGAATAACTTGAATTAGGAGCCTTTTTTAATTGAGATTTTGAGAGAGGAAAGTAGAAGAGGAGAGAGACATAGATGTGGCAGCGTAACATCGACCAACTGCCTCCTGCACACCCCCTATTAGGGATCAAGCCCGCACCCTAGCATGTGCCCTGACCGGGAATTGAACCAGCAACCTTTCGGTGCACAGGAGGATGCACTGGCCAGAGCAGAGATAACCTATTTTGATCTATCTATAGGGCAGGACAGACTTCTATTTACTAAACGTCTGCTCTTCTTATCATCCTACAATGACCCTTTGAAGCCCCCAAAGCACCTTACCTCATCCTAGCTCAGGATGTCTCATATACATACCCATGTTCCCTTCTATTTCTGAACCTCGCATGTATGTAAATTCTCTGACTGTGTCAGTATGCGGGGTCCCCATACATATGTATATATTAAATTTGGTTATTTTCTCTTGCCAATCTATCTCATGTCTATTTGATTACTATACCAGCCAGAAGAACCCTGAGAGCAGAGGAAAGTTTGCTCCTGCCAGATAGTATCAATGAGAGGAAGCAGAGGCCTGAGTCTAAGAAAACACCAACCTGGCAGTGTGGAGGGAGGGGGCCCAGTGCTGGTCAGATGGCAGGATGGGGGCTCAACATACAGATATCTGAGCAGTTAACAAAAGAAAAAGGCCTTCTACATTTTATCTACTTTAGTTATAAAGCAACCCGGTAATCTCTGGGAGAAGGGGAGGTTAGAACAGCCCAACACTGTTTAGATAAACATTAATTAACTACTCTGTTCTCATCATATGTAATCACTTCCACAATGACCTACTCAGCAAAGACTTTTAGATTTTTTGAATATCTTTTGTGTACTTTGGGGAAACACTTAAAATGATAGCCTTCCTTTTCCATGATAATATTCTATGAAAAATGTAACTGGTTGAAACACAAAGAGTGTCCATCAACGCTAAACTACCCACCACAGAAAATCAAAATTCCTACATTCACTTCTGAAATGTTTACTATTAGCCTCACAAACAGGGAGCAGCCTTTGCCGTTACAGGAGGTGGAAACACTGCTTTTTGGAGAAGGGCTGGTATAGAGACAGCAAAGGGGTTGGGATGCGGAAGGATGAGGAACTGGCCTTCCCTAAGCACGGCCTGGTGACATTCTCCTGAACTCCTAGGGACACAAGGGAAGTCCAGGGAGGGGCACAGGCATGGCTGACGCTGCAACTGCTATAGGAAGGAGGGGGGAGAAAGTTTAGAGGGAACCTTCAAGTCCAGATTTGGGACCAAAGCCACTGCCTAGGTACCTCGCCTTTGCCTGAGGTCGTCTGTTCTGATACCTGATTCATATCAAGAAGCAAATTTTCCTAAACCACAGAACACAGACTGCAAATGTTATCAACTTCCTCTTAAGAATGTAAAACAGAAAACAATGAGGAGGGCAGGAAAAGGTCAGTTGTGAGGAGAAGAATGTAGAATATTTGTTGGAGGTTTAGTCATTGTAGTTTGTATAGAGTAACTATTAGAGGTATAGATGAAATATGGCTAAGGGAAATAGAATATTTGACATAAGTTAAATTCTCCAACAATCCAAAGCCAATTTTAAAAAGGAATGAATGCTCATGTTAAAGAATATTCTAATACTAGCAGCAAATTCCCTACAATTCTATATTATGTCTAAATTTTGTTTAATCACTAAGGAACACTGAGGTTATTTTGAAAATGCACATATTACCTGTCCTTTTCCACAACAACAGGAGTAGGATAGGACTGGTTACTTTTATTGCCAGTGCCCAACTGGCCATAAGAATTTGCACCCCAAGCATATACTTGGCCTTCATCTGTTAATACTAATGTGTGTGCGTAGCCACAGGCAACCTGAAAGAGAAAAACCAAATCCACTCAGGCCTGCTAATTGAGAGAAATATGCTTTCACAGAATAGGTTAAGAAAAAAAAAAAAAAAAAAAAAAAAGGGAAAGGGGGGCCCAGAAA